TTTATTTATAAAGTAACTCAATTACAGGGCAATGGAACAAATGTTCACAATGCTCACCATCAGTTATTATGTAGAACATAATTGGGATAGATTTCTGAACTGATGATCTACTTACAAGTCTTGCTAATTTATTTATTTCCAAAAGTGAACATCAGTATTTACCCTGACACTTTTAGAATTATCAAAAGATCTAAATGAAGATAGAGAATCTAATTCGTTATGTCTGGGGGGTCTGAGATTCCGAAAATCTAAGAAATTCCTAGGCAATGCCAATATATTGGTGGTCTGTGGACTATACTTTGAATAGGAAGGCTTTAGGACAGCAGTTGGCAAACTTTTCTATAAGGGACTCTGTGGTAAGTGTTTTTAGTTTGTGGGACATATGGACTCTGTCACAACTCTTCAACTCTGCCATTGTAGTGCCAAAGCAGCCATAGACAACATGTCGAGGGACGAGTGAGGCTATGATCCAATAAAAAGAAACAGGTGGCAGGACAGGCATATATATCATAGTTTGCCAACCCCACTTTAGGAGACCACTCTGAAATTAGATATTGCTTACAAAATACAATATATACATGCATATTTATATTTTAATATATACTTAAAAATTGGGCTTGTCTGTTCAGATCATTCCATTGGTCGGTTTCATAGCCTTAAGGATGTAATACACATTGCTAAAAATCACATTTTAAATTGAAAAACAGTTACTTCACTACTAATTGACAGATTTGTTAACTTTTACTGAATATCTGAGTTTTAATGGAGAAACAGTGATGCTATGGAATAATGAAAAGTCAGCTAAAGGCCTTGTATTTGATCAAGCAGAGGAAAGCTTATAACGTAAGGCTTTTAAAAATTAAGTAAAATAAATAAGATCTTTAAAAAACCCATTGTATTTATTTTACTCACTTTTAGATTGTGAGTCTACAAGTGACTTTCAGAGTTCAGAAACAGAGTAGGAGACATGAGGTAGTAGAAAAGAAAATAATTATAATTGAAATTTAAAAATGGGAATGCCAGAGTAACTACTTCAAATTGTTTTCTCAATTGTTATGAACTGTAAAAAAAACTAGTTTACTTTTACCAAGCCTTGTGTGAAAAGAGAAGTGTGAAGAACCTGCCCTATAAAATTGCCAAGTTGAACTCGTCAAAAGAAGGGTCCAGTTGGGAGAACCTGGAGTAAAACTAGTAAAATGCTAAAATAACAAAACCTCAAATTCATTCTAAAATAGGCCAAGGCCTGTTGTATTCTGTATAAAGAGGATGATGAGGCAGAGTTGAATCATCCAGACTAAGATGTGAGTGAGTGACTAGAGTTCACAACCTTCATTGTCTGAACCAAAATCCTGGCTCTCTGTATCCATCCATCCACTGATTCCTTTCCCATTTTTTTTCCTGTGGCTATTCCAGATCTTCACATCACACTCTTATTTTCAATGGACCTCAACTTCCATTTCACTGAAAGGATTTATGGAGTGAATTTGTTTTTTCCTTCCCTTCCTCTTGGTTACAAACTTAATTTACATCCATACCCATCTTTCCACCCATTCCTCCTGTCTGTCTCAGGGTGGAGTGTCCTTCCGCCTGCCAAACTTAATTTTGCTTCCTGTGATGTAGATCTGCTCCCTCTTCCCCAAACCCCTTCCCCCAAGTTCCCTTTATCTCATATTTCAGAGACGTGAATTTTGAAATAGAATGGAAGGTCTTCAAAGTTAAACATTTCCTTATATAGTGCTATGAGAGCATGGAATTTGTTTTCTTTTGTTTGTTTTTTTCCCCCAGCTTTTTCAATAGTGTAGCTCAGATTAGGAATCCATATGGCATGAGAAAGAAAATCAAATCAACTTGATAGGGCCAGGTATTTATCTGCCCATTTTTGTGGGTTTGACTGTATTAATATAAAGAAACGCTGAAGTTTTCTTATTCTGGGTAGAAATTTAAAAAATTTATATCTGATCAAGTTTTCCATATTAGACTTTAGTATGTAGGATTTAAGAAATCATAGTTATTTTACTTTATTGATCTATATTATTACATAACAGGAAGATGCTGATCAGGTTTGTTACTCTTTGGGGTTTGGCTCTCTTTTACCTTTCTCTTCATGAAATTATAGAAGAATTAAGGAGCAAAAATTGCATATATTCTACTCAGTCTTCCCAAGCCCTTACACCCCTTTATTATATTACCATTTGTCTAGCAGTGTGTGACTGCTTCAGAATATGTACATATATGTAAATAAAAGGTCATGAAAGACTTGTAACAGTAAGCATTTTGGAATTCACAGTGGACTCCATGAAAAAAAAAAAAACAAGCTCTTGACTAAGACAGCATGCAGTAGGGTTTTTATTTTTCATTTGTGCAAGACCAGAGAGTGCCTTGTTAGACATATTTGCCAATTAAAGTTTAAAAAGAGTTTGTAATAGACCGTAAGCACCTTCTGAGCCTCACATTGAGAGTGAGTCTTTGAAGAACCTACAAACACTGGAATTGTGGATATTTCCCTCTGTAAACCTAAAAATATGACATTAGTCTTCCTCTTGTTCTTAATATTCAGTAGAACTTGTGGGATCACAAAGTAAAACCAAAGGACTGGAAGGAAACTTCTTTAAGTCACCAATTCTGTTTATTCCTTTTAAATATAGTGACAGCTCTTTTGAAAATAAGCTGAATCTTAATTTCTCCTACACTGATAAATGAAAAATCATGATTAGGAAGGAGGAAGGAACTTGAAATAATTCTCAGTTTTGTTCCCTCTGACTTAAAAACACCTTATGGTAAGATGTAAAATTCCCATACATGTATTTCCTCACCTCTCCCCACAAAACTGCAGTTATGCACACGTCTGCCTCTGGATGCTCAAGTTTGTTCCAGTATCTTTTTTTTTCATGTTCTGTTTACTTCTTTTTTTAACTACTTTGTTTTTTATGTTATGCCCTGATTTTTCAGAATTTTTCTTTGCTTTCTGTGCATATTTACTGTCAGATAAACTTAGTATCAAAGTGTCAGTTTCCTACCAAAGTAACCCCATTGAGCTACTACTAAAATCTCACTGAATTTTTAGATTATTTTTGAAGTAGTTGACATCTCTACAATGCTGAGTATTCCCAGATTATGGTTGGCTTTCTCTTTATTTACATCCTCTTCTAATGTTTCATTTTTAATTGCGATATAATTCACATAAAACTCAACATTTTCAAGCATATAACTAGTGGTATTTAGTATTTAGCTGTGTTGTACAATCATCCCCACTCTCTTAATTCCAGGACATTTCCATCACTCCAAAATAAAAACCCCATACTCATCAGTGACTCCTCCATTCTCCCTTCCCTCTAGCCCCTGGAAATCTCTAGACTACTTTTTGTCTCTGGATTTGCCTATTCTAGGCATTTCATATAAATGGTGTCTTACAAATGCTAAAAATGTGGTCTTTTATGTCGGGCTTCCTTTACTTAGAATACTGTTTTCAGGGTTCATGTTGTAGTATATATTTCTTTCCTTTTTATAATTAAATAAATAAATTCTAGTAAAAGTTTAATTGTTAACTTACTAATTTGACTTATTAATGAATAATTAACTCCTGAATTTCTCTTCCATCATAAACTTCATTTCATTAGTATGAATTTAAGTGTTCATAGTTCATTAGTGTTTTTTACATGAATGATAATGCTAATAGTCTAATTTTATTATAAGGCTTCTGTTCAATTATCAGTGTATGTTTGAGGAATTTCTCTTTTTTAAGGGTCAAAGTCATGTACCTATTTTACTTTACCATATAATAGGTAATAGAGCTAGGTAGATTGACTCTAAATAGCACATGAGAGGCATCTTAAACTAGTCCCTAGGTGAGTAAGGTTGAGTGGAGAGAGTAAATAATAACTCCTGTGGACCAGAACAGGAGACCATCAGGAAACATCAGGGCCTCTAGTAGTCTCAGGTACATGCACAGGGATTGTTCTTCAGGTGTTATCTTCTTCACTCTGCCACAGATCTCAGGGGACTGGAATCTTTATGATAAGGTGCTCTTTAGTGTTAATTCAGATCTTAGTACCTCCCTGGCTTTGACCTGTCCTTAGGAGAGGAGGATCAGGTATGGGCATGATGACCTCTCAGTTCAGGGCCCTTATTACTTAAGACTTTCAGCCCTTAGTACTGTTGGTACACTATGTCCTCAGCTTGGATTGTTCCCATGAGAAGATTCTGTTCTACCTCTGACACCATGGACACTACCCTCTATTCTTTTTAGCATGTCTTCTCCTTACAAGGATAAGCAGAGAGTTTTCTTGCTACAGAGCTAGTAGGAGGAATTTAAAGAAAGATAATGTAGAAAAATAAGTGAAAATTGCTGTAAGGTAGAGGGAACAAATGTCAGGGAAGATCTATGCATGTAAGCTAGTCAGCACTCATAGTAATCATAAGCAAAAACATCATGTGTCTTTGTTGATACTTGGAAATGCATTGAAAGCCACTTCATTTAACCTATTAGGTTGAAAACTGAAATAAGTATAAAACACAGTCTGATTTATGACTCACATATGGACAAGTAGATTTCCTTCATGTAATCCTTTACATACAAACAGAACAAATACTTAAAATAATATACATTTAAAGTTCTAAGTGAGAACAAGAGAGCAGGAAACATAATGCTACTTAATGAAAGAACATGCTTGTAATGTAACAAAAGTTATACCTTTGAATTAGGTTTTCGTACACACAGTGACTATGAAGCACAATTAAGAAGTATAGGGATCAACCTGAGCATTTTGCTCTAAATAATGAAAGTGAAAAATTATATCTGATGTCCACAACAGTTTTTGACAGAGACCTTAAGATCGATTACTAATCCTACAGATGTCTAATACTCTTTTTTAGCTTGTGTTTTAATGTGTAAAACATTTGGGGAATAATTCCAGGTTGTAAGCATTTTCAATAAAAACTGATGGTATTTCTGCTATAACAAATTACATTTTTCTTTTTTCATTTGTTTCCCTACCCCCCAGGAAACTGACCGGACATTCTTTCCACATGGGCTATAGCATGGCAATTTTGAATGGCATTGTAGCTGCTCTTACTGTAGCATGGTGCCTCATGTAAACCCACACTGAAGCAATATTCTTAACAAAACTTAGTCATAATTGCTTTGTAATAACAGGGAAGAGCATCATTACCTACTCAGAAGACCGAGAAACCTGCTGTTCATTATGTGGTTCATAAATGTGTCATATCATCGTCATGGAGGACCTTCTTAAGCATTATTGTAGAAATTGGGAATACCTGAATATTAAGTTTCAAGAAATTTCTTTAAAGCATAATATGTTTACCTCATCTTTTTACTTTTGTGTGTGTTGTCCTTACAAGTTGCAGGAGGTGCTTTAATGGAAATCAAGCTCAAAAACTTGAATACAGGACAATGAGTATCTTTCTGTGTATATAATACATTTTTGCTAAGAGATACTGATATTACTGTTTAATTGAAATAGATATTTATTCATTACATTAGGAAAGCAAAGCAAACAATGCCTACTACTTTGACATTTTATAGAAGTTACTGTTAAATCATAATAATTTTCAAGATTCACCGAGTCAGTAGAAGGTGCTTTTATATTTTTTAATGGGGCATAGTTCCTTGTTTTCTTACATATTTTCCTACTACATATTGAATTTGTATGTTTTAAAAATTGTTACATCCAGACAAATGTGTAAATGTTATTTTTTAGCTGGTGCAAACCTAATACCTATCATTTTTAATAAGTATTTTGTCTTTTAAAAAACAAAAATACATTGACCTGAGCTTAAAATTAAATAAACTTATTTTTAACAAAAAAGGACTGGCAAAAGATAAATTGTTTAAGCCATTAAAATACTGAGAAATTTGAAGCTGCTCACTATTTGTTTCCACAGTTTCCACAATATCTTGGTGTGTATGTGGTTACTTCAACACAACTGATACTATTTTGTTTTTAATAAACATCTAGAATTTTTATATTTAGAAATGCTTCATTTTTAGTCTGAAAAATTTAGTTAACAGAACAAAAGGTGTTTTGATAAAGGGTGTATATATGTGTGTAATTTTTTATATATAGATTCATAATTTTCCTATTTAAATGTTCTTTTATAATTCTGGTATTTTTGTTTTCGTAGTTGCTCCCACTTCTAAATGCCTGTTTAAAAAGTCACTTCAATTTTAGAATGATGGGCTATTTAAAATGCTATTTTCCCAGCTATAGGAAAACTTACATTAGGGGAGCACTGTGCAGTGCATCTGCTTATTCAGGTAAATGGGGAGTGAATATTTGCAGTGTGTTCCTCTTATCTGCTGAGTTTTGTGACTGAGTAAATGACTTAAGTCACAAAACCTTAGCTTTTTTTTACTATTCAGAAACCTGTTGGAAATGACAAATGCTCCTGCAGTTCAAATTATTTGAAGTGTTTAGTAGTGTGTGTGATTAGGTTTAGATACACATGACATACATATATACAAACCTATGGCTTCAATATTCCTTCCAGAGTAGTGGGTATAACGAATCATTTTCACTCCTTGCCTTCTTCTCCACACTACTCTCCCCCTCCTTGGCTCTGAAGGGCTCTTTCACTGCACAGGATTGTGCAAATGACAGTTTTTCTTCTCTCCACCCCACTAAGTCCTCTCCCCTCAAATTTGAATACCTTCTTCTAGATTGTTTTATGACTAAGAAAACTGTTACAGTAAACCCTCTATATGTTGATATATTATGCATACATTTAGATATATGTCTGTAAGAAATTTCTTCTGGAACCCTATTTCTTCTAGACTAGCACTCCTCTTTCTTGGGAAATTACTCTCCTCTCAAGTCTAGGATCCAAAATAAGCCATCCTACTTCCATTGCAGAGTAATTGACTAAGGGTAAGTACCTCACCAAAGTTGGGCCAATCCTGGTTTCTCATTTTTCCTGGCCACAGTGATTGCAACAGTAATAGAGACATGACTCAAATTAGGTCTGTCCCTGTGCAGGATTTTTAAGCTTCAAATTCAGGTAAATTAAGCTGGGAAGATACAGGCCTAGGAGATGCTGGCTCCCAGAGTTCAGCCAAGTTCAGTGGGAAAGAATAAGGCTGACACAAGTACTGCTAGTGACATTCCTGTAATCCCTGAAGCCCAGTGGTGACCCTGCCATTCTGGAAATTTTATTGCATGAGCCAATGCATTTCTCTCTTGGCCTTTGATGTTCCTATAGCTTTTTTTGTCATTTTCAACAAAAGGAGTCAAGATGAGTTTACCTAACAGCTAAAAATCTTCTCTATTAAGAGATTGACTCAGAAAATGTCATCTCTTTATGTGCAGCTTACATTCCATTTGGTTACTTGTGAAGGATACACAGGCTATAAGTGTGCCTGTGGCTAATGATTAATCTCAGGGACTAAAGGAGTTTTGGAATTAGTAATCTACTTTCTGTTTCATCAGGAATTTATTATGTTCCTAAAGTCAATTCTGGCTACTATTACCAGAGTGTTACTTCAGTTATCAAGATATGAGTCTTTTAGTGTTAAATGCAGTACCTTTATTTTAATAACAGTGTTTCTCAGGTTCCTTGTCTGTAAAGTGGAAGAATAATACTTAAAATACTTAAACTCAGTGAAAACGCTACATGTTTATGGAACCTAGATAAAACATGGTGTAAAGGAAATTTATAACTTCAGATACATTTATTAGGACAAAAGGAAGATTGAAAAATAAACTAAGAATGCAAATCAAAAGTTAGAAAAAGCACAGTAAAGCCCCCCAAAACAGATTGTAAATATATAAGATAAGGATACAATCAATGGAGAACAATGCCAAAATGGTAGAATATCTGTCTTCGCTCAGCTGCTATAACAAGTTACCACAGACTGGGTAGCTTATAAACAACCAATGTATGTCTTAACAGTTTTGAAGGCTGGAAGTCCAAGATCAGTTTGCCAGCATGGTTGGGTTCCAATGAATTCCCTCTTCCTGGTCTCCCATCTCCTCATTGTATCCTCACTCAATGTAGAGAAATAAAAGACTAGCTCTCTTCCTCTTAGGGACAGGGAGAGTGATTGCATGGTGAGAGCTCCACCCTCAACCTAATCACCTCCCAAAGGCTCCACCCCCTGATGCCATCCTATTGGGCATTAAGAGTTTCAACAAATGAGTGGGGAAGAGGGGACACAAACATGCCATCCATAAATACTGAATACCGAAAGTGAGTTCTCTGAAAAGATCAAGATAGATTTCTGGTAAAACAAATTCTAAAGGAGATTTTCTATATGTTTATTTTTTCCATTTTTGCCCATTTTCTTGATTATAATCAGGGCCCTATATTGCAAACAACAAAAACTATCTTACTAACTTAAAGGAATTTATTGGAAGGGTATCTGTGGCTCTCAGAACAGGTGGGCAGGAACCAGGAAAGTAAAAGAAGAGGAAGTAAAGGAACTGTTTGGTAGTGGGAACAGCCTGGTCAGGATGATAGAATGAATCTTTCCCGTCATTTTTTCTTACTCCTTGCAAGATAAGCTCAAGGTTCAGAGTCCTTGGAGAGAGTGCCCAGTTGGCCAAGAAACTAACTCCTTTTGGCTACTGGAACTGACGGCAGCATCTGAAATTCTTTGGGATGGGTGAAAGAATATGAGGCAGCCAGAAAAGACAAATACCCATTACTGTTTACTCTTGACTTTTCAGTTTCCACACACATATTATTCCTTTCATACTTAACATCCCAGAGTACTCATGTCTGACAAGGCAGCTGTTGCTTAGTACATCCAATGCCAAGGCCAGACCTTGCTGGTCCTGAAGAATTATGCCCATTCTTCTAGTATGCCACATTCTCCTGTTGATATTCTGCAAGTTACACTAAATAGTCATTTTAATAGTTACAACAGGAAAATGATGAGAAATTTGTTAAAATACCTATTACATAACAGCAAGAAAACATAGGTAGAAGTTAGTATCTTTCTTATGTGCCTGGTCATGAGGCTTGCCTTCCTCTGTATCTTTCCTTTTAACTGTTTCGGCTACTGTTTTGGCAAATTAGGTTTCTTCCCTAATAGAGTGGTCTGATTTGCAGATGTAAGCTTGTGTTGGTTCTTTGCCTCCATATATGGTTGTGCCAGAACCCATCCCAGAGAATCTTCAGTCTTCCCTCTATACTCTTCCTCGCTTTCACTGTGTGGCAGCAACTGTATTATAAGGTTAAAACACCCCAACTAACATGGCAACCCTCTTTTTTTTGCCTGATTACCTACTGGCATAAAGAATCTAAAATTACCTTATGGCAGTTAGAACTGCCAATTCTTTTGAGCTAATTTCTTGAACTCCTTAAGTACTAAAACCTTCAAAAACAAGAGTCCAGAGTCAGAGGAACAAAAAGCAAAAACTTAATGAATGGGAAATTGGGTGTGATAGGGAGAGGCCTCTTAGTTCTTGGACCCATGTAATCAGAAGTGGGAGAAACAACGTCAAAAATTACTTGGCTAAAAATACACACTGTATCCAGAAAGAAGTTAACTTTAAATGTCTCTGTTGTCTTCATAAGTAAGTCTTCAGATTATTCCAATAATCAGATACAGCAGCTGATTATAGGTACATAAGAAAGGTGTTAACAGGAATTAAGCACATCATCTTACCTCTTCCGTGTAGTAAGTTCCTTGGCTAGAACAATGTGTGGGAATTCGTGATAATAGATAAATTATTTTGAAAATTCATAAATGGTGGTGCTGCCAGAAGTATCACAGACAAGAAAAGCAAATCTCATGCCTTAATATGTCTACTACTGAGGATGAAACTGGTTAAATGTTACCCTTTCTCTAATGCAGTTAGTTGGCCCCCAGGTAGCTGGCTGATGCCCATGATACAATATTGCAAAAAGTGCTCCTGGCAGACAGAAGGTGGGGGAGGAGAGGCAGCCGTGGTAACCAGGAAAGCTTAAATTCTACCTGTATACCCCACCCTTGCCATTTTACCACTGAGCACTGGCTTGACAAAAGGAGACTAACATTTCCAAAATAGGTTGTTTTGTCTACTGGATTATTCAGAGGCTTTTTCACAGTGAGGGCTTTGCTGTGAGCGTTAACGTAGCTCAGAAATAGTCTCACGTTCTAGATCCATTTTAAGAGACCCATCTATACACTCCTTCCCAATCTCTCTCAAATTGGCACTAATCCTTTTCCAAGTCCTTGACAATCCAGCTAAACTTCGACTTCACTCTCCATGAATATGCATAATCCTTACTTCATGCCATATCTCTTCAGGCCAGGGAGACAGCAATACAAATTGCTTGAAGTTCTCCCCAGGAGGTTTTTCCTCTATCCTTTGCTCCCATGCGCA